CATAACGTGATGGGCATGAAGCGATGGTTACGAGTCAATGGGGATATCACATGAGGTTTGTGGGTGTGCGTACGACCAAATGCAATGCAAAAGTTGATGCGACAGCCAAGAAAGGACGAAAACTATGTGAGTTCTATGCGAAGAATTAGGGAGGGGGTGTTCAGGTGATTGTACTTCAGGACAGTGAAAAAGAGCCAAGTGTAGTACGTAAATTAGTACGAGGCAATCGATTTGGACCGGAGGGATAGTTCAGGCAACGAATGTAAGGTAGAGTAAAATCCGACGAAAATACGCCTAAAGCATTGCGTAAATGACATGGTAGATTGTATTCGGGGCCATTTATTTAAAGCGTGAATTAGGAAATTCACGAGTAATCAGATATTCGGCGAAGAGAAGAACACTGAACAACAAAACTGAACAGTTTTCCTGGGATTTTCACGAATAGAAATTATGAATGAGTAATTGTTATTGGGCAAATAATATTTGTTTTGACTAACAATTCGCGGAACAACAACGATGATACACTATATACGTCGATAGTCGAAAACTCAATTATTTCAGTTCTTGAATGTGCCTATTTTTGTGGCTCCTCTTCACCTTCTCATTACACATGTAGTATTTTCAACTTCCACTGAAGTGAGTTCGTTGAAACCTTCAATATTTAAGGAAAATAACTTAAGACTTACGTATGTAAATTTACCGATGGTTTTAAAATATGTGACTTGTCTATTAAAAGTATAACTGTTAATTTTGAACACAAGTGGTCAGTCTACGACAAAAGATAAATAATTGGTAATGAGTATATTTGAACGACCTAAAATATCTCAAAAAATGATAAATAAAATGCGCTTGAAATGTTTTAAAAATTCTCTAAAAACAAAGAAAAATAACGTAAAAAATTATCAAATCCGGTGCAAATGAACAACTCAAGCTGTAGGATATGTCACTGATGTAACTGACGGCTCTTCCTTTCGTTCATGTGAACTCAGCTAGCAAACTTTTAGTTTGGACTATTCTTTAGCAGGAAATCTCTGACTTAAGTTATACCGAAATCAGTCGAACAGATAATGGTGCTGGTAGGGGTCATAGGAATCTAAGATTACACACTCACAACGGCAGCCAGTACAATTACTGATCGAAGAAATCGAATTCAGAAGGACTCAGGAATTCTCAAGAGTATATTGATGCATCTCGTAAATATTATTTGAAGCAAGTACCATTAAAATAATATTAAAATCGATCATATCAGCGAAAAATGCTTTACAAATGTCGGGAAGTGGTAAAAAATGACTTATTACTGATAAACGATTGAAAAAGCAAAAAAATGTCGCATCAAAAGGATCATTTCCTTTTGTCGCATCATAAAATTAATGACTACACTAAATGACATTGTTCTAAAGTAAAAAGAAAGACATTTCATTAAAATCCGGCCCCTAGTGATTGATTGGTGAGTGAGTGATAGAGTATTGATTCCAAACGTGTCAACCAAATTGATCATTAATCTTGTGAGTGTAAAATATGTGAGTGTGTGTAAGTAAAGGAAGATGATTGAAAAGGAGGAGAAAGGAAGGGAAGCTTACGTGTGGTGCATGACACTACTTCTAGATTTCTGCTCCGGCAATCATGTGGTACTGATCGGAGAAACCATGGAAAACTACCAATCAAAGGTAAAAGCACCAGTCACTGGACGTTGACACTAGAACCTGCCGGTCAGTGAAGTTGTAGAGGCAATAGTGTTACCACTGAGCTATCGCAGAGGTCGGTTTGGGAAAGGAGTTGCGGCGGCGGAGGTAGAGTGGGAATTGTAGTGGCAGCGCCAGTCCTAAAGGCGCTGGACGCCCCACCCGAGCTGGCTTCCGGAACACAAAGCGACCACGGGTGTTTGCCTCCGTCTGGGGAAGTGAATGTGGGCTCCATTTGCACTGGCGCTGAGCCACTGAGCCTCGCAAGCTGCAGGCGGCGCATTAAATGGGCTGTCAGCAGTCAGTCGCGCGTTGTATTCTGTGGCGTTCAGAAATATTTCTTAGTTTTTTCTTCCATACGTGTACAGAATTAGGGCAAGAGAACTACTTTTTGGACTAAAGGAATGCACAGAGCAAAGAAAATTGTTGAACAATATGTTTCCAGTTTGACAGTCTAAGTTCAAGTACAAGTACAAAGTGTTAATATGACGTTGATTAAATTAATTAAAACTGATTATTACTCATTAATTTTGTAAGTAAAGTTTGTTAATTTATGATTATAAGACTTCTCTGTCGATAACGGCCACATGGAGAATTTTATTAATGAGTGAAGAAAGAGTACAATACACTGAACCTTACTGATATCTATTATCAATTACATAATTTTGGAAAGAGAGTTTACTTAAAAAATAAAATAGTGTCACATCGATTTTCTTCTGTTAATTTTAGATTAAGAAAAAAGACGTAGGATTTCGATTTACATGCGTCAATCTTTCAGGAAATCAATTTCTCAGGAAAATGGATTAATTTCTGCAGTCACGTTGAACTTGTGGAACTACAACAGCACATACTTTCTCATATCATTTCCAAATTTCCCATTTTAGAAAATTCGTGGAGTTCGCGAAAGTTCAACGAAACTGAGATCTGAGCCATTCTTTTAAGTGTCCATTGTTCTAACAGTGGAAAAAATTGAAGTAAAAAAAATTGAGCTGTATTTGAGAAAATGTTTTTTTTATTTGCACTAACTTCCAGCATAAATTACGCGAACACTACTGATTTTAAAAAAAAATTATCAAGATTTGATTTTTTAGGAGAGATTTCATTTAAGGCAGAATCTCTACCTTCAATATTGTATTTTGCAATCTTAAGATTTTACTATGTGATTTTTCAAAAAATACAGAGTTTCCGTAGGAAATGAGACTAGCATAACATTTTATCCTGTTATATGATACATACGAGGAGAAATTTTAAAGAAGAACAATTGAATAGTTTTTGAGAAAATAACCGCTTAAATATGCTTATATTTCAAGCAAAATTACGCGAAAACATGTCGTATTTTCGAAAAGTTTAACATGTTCTTATTTCAAGATTTGTTTTCCAACAATTAATTTTAATTAAAAAGTTGTATCTTCAATATTGTAGTTGTACAAGACGCCTCCCAAAAATGGAATTTTGCAATTTTAAAAAATTAGAGATTTTAACGAAAATGAGTCCTTCGCCATCCTTTTAAGCGCCATTAAGCTATCAGGGAACAAATATTAATCCTAAAATTTGGAACTATTTTGGAGAAAACTTTGAAAATGTCGAGGCTTCAAGTAAAGTACGTCCAAAAATGAAAATTCAGAAGAGACAGCTATTTAGAAGTGTAGCCGTGATTTTGACAATTCTCGAGCTAGCGAACACAGTAACTTGACATATTGGCTACAACTTTTACCCCCACAATGTGATAAGCGGTTCAGTAGACACCCCTTTTTCCCTCCAAATATCAAAGAACAATATCTGATTTGTTTGACGTATTCACCCGATCAGCAGGTTTGTTGACCGTACTTTATTGCACATACTCCAACAGACCTCGTAAGTTTAGGTGAGTGTTAGATCAACTTAAACATATGCTGGGAACTTGCAGGGCGTTTCGTATATGCCGGTGGAGGAAAAATACGGACCCAACCGGACCCCCTTTTAGGTATTCAGATTTTGATAGATTTGGACAAGCTGGGAGGGTGTGATATAATTTTACCTGAGCCTGACAAATGAAGAGGATAATGTAGAGAACCGCATTACCATAATGTTGTGTTCTCAATTCATGATGTTGAGCATCTATTACTACTACTTCCGATTCTGGCTTCATTCTTCCTCTATCAAGCTATACAAATTAATAGATTTTATTGATACGTATCTTGTCCATTATTTTCAGATATTGCCCTCCACAAGATTGCTCCCGCACGATTTGTTTAATGTTTTCAGTGTCTCACATTTCATTTGAAGCAGCATTAATAAATCATTGTCTGTGATATTCTGCGGGCCTTGAATATTTTTCTTCGCAAAGCGTCTTCCTGGCAGGGTTGCTGGATGTTTAGCAAGCTCTTTACTACCTCTGCTATAGACGTTTCCCAATTAACTTCTCTAAAGAAACACAATTCATCTTTCAAACGAAAAAGGTTTCTCCAAATAATGGACCAACGACATGAGCTGTCTCTGACGAATCCATTGGCAGTCCCCTTAAATTTAAGTAATACAAATCTACCAATCATCGTTATCGAAAAACGTTATTTTTCTCTTTCTCGAGACAAAATAACGTTTTTATTCATAATAATTGAGAGTATAATATTTCTATCTCCACTTCAAATGAAAATAATTTCCTCCAAAAATACATTAACATTTCCCCTTACATTTATGTTCTCCATTCTTTCCCTACAACGAAAAAATCCCCATTTTGGGGACAAAATTAGCCAACCTTGCTTGCTGCACCAATTCGGCATTGAGCAGAGACTCGGCCTACACAAGTGTACTCTGTACTCTGTCTTTAGGTTGTAACTCTCTAATAAATTAACTTATTATTAAAATAATCACATTGGATATAAAGAGTTATTTCTTTCATTTCATTTTCATTTGTTTTAATAAGTACGTGTAGACAATGATATTTTCTCCCTCTTTTAAGTACTGATTTTTTTTTAATAAAATCATTTATTAGAATATTTTTCAGTAGATTGATTATTGAATGAATGAACATCACCTGGTACTATCACGACGATATTTATATTTACGTGAATAAAGAATTATAACAATTATTCTAGGTAAGCTTTCACCATTTAAACTATTAATACGTAGTAAATATCTCGTATTATGTTCAAAACATTCTGAAAAACTCGTTTCTAGAATTTTTTTCAGTACTTGAAAAAGACGAAAAGTGTCATTGTTGAAACGTTGTACGTATTAGAGCAAGTGAAAACAAAATAAAATTTTTAATCTAATGGGATCATTTTAATACTAAGTGTACGGCTTATTGTGCGCTCCTGACCGAGCTTCTTGCGGTTGCAGATCCGGTGTTCTACGGCCACGACGGCAACGACGCCCTCAACTGAGGGGCGGCCGCGCGCGGGAGCGACGGCGGGGGCGGGGGCGGCGCGGACCAGCGCGCTGGTGGACAGTGCGGAAGGCCGCACGCCGGCCTGGCGCCTCGCCGCCGCCCGGCCGGCCGCGCCGCCGGCCGCGCGTTCCGCCGCTGCAGCGCCGCCCTGCTTTCGTGAGGGCGCGCCCGGCGCCCGCCGGAGAATGCGGCCCCGCGCTGCGCCGCCCCGACTTGCGCCCCGGCCGGCCCCCGGTGGGCCCCCCGCGGCCCCCAGTAGCCGCTGCAGCCGGCGGCGGCGCGGGCGAAAAGCTTCCGCTGCAAGATCCCCTCTCTCTGGTGCTGATTCGCCTTCGCTCTACACGGCAGAGGAACAGGCAGACCTGAGCGCCATCTTGACGCACGTTTTCAAACTAAGCGCTTCAAGTCAAAAGCCGGAATATTGTTTTGCAGATCCAAAAATCGTTGAAAATTATGAACTAGTATTGTATGTCACAGGAATTTATGAGGTGTTTTGTTTCTTCGGCTGGTTGATACAATGCGATTAATTATGAAAAGATTTCGAATCAAAACTATTCCTTTTCACTCCGGTGAACTGCAATAATTTTATAGGTGGTAGTGTCCCTATTCGAGTTCTTTATAGTTCAACCAAACAAATTGGTATTTGAATCTAAAGTGAATTTATCCTAAGTGTTTCTTTTTTTGCTCTGTAAAAATGTAAATAATAGATTATTACTCTTTTTTTTGATAATTACATTATCCGAATCTTTTCAAGACAACTAGTAATTGCGTCATAACAGTGCTCCTAAACGACTTCAAACGATTGCTGCCATAATGTATACGACAAAAAGTGTCTTTATTCTCTCAACATCCGTATTCTTGTACAATGAGACTGAACACTTCACTTCTAAAAGATAAAGCTCTGTTCATTGAAGGAACATGTTAATAAATCACAGGCCTGTCTGTTCATTAAAAATGCGAAGCATATGCCGCCACAAAAGCGAAAATACGCAGAGGTGATCACTAGAAACTACACCTGAAGGGGGCAATGGTCGCCAAGGTGTGTAAAATAATGGACACGCAACTGTACTGTACCTCTTTCAACAAGAGGCGGTAGACAGCGTTCCTCAACCGTTGCACTTGTTAATGTGCTCTACCGTGTGAATAAGTTATTCGAAATAATTTTGAAATACTGCAGTGTTGTGTATCCTTGATATTTAAAGAAGATATTTAGAAAATAAGTTATTTTACGTTACGCGATTGGACGATACAGTGGATTACATTTCGGGATAGAATCCCTACCGTTGCAAATAAATTAAATTTTTCTTTGCTAAACATAGCACTTTCTTGATGTTTTACATGTAATTATGTGCAGACATATGGGATATTTATCATACACATCATGGTATATTAGTAGGCATAACAGTTTTAGGGAATTTATTAAGTTCTTGTAAACAAAAAGTGAAAAACGCTGCTTCATGAGATGAAGCAGCTTACATTGCGGAGCGTGAGAAAACTTAGGAAAGATTCTTAGTAAAGACTTTTTTCTCTCTTCTCTAGGCAGACTAGTAATGGGTGGTAATGAGCAAATTCTATGACTCAAGCTAAATGACGCGAATGCGAAGTGTGAACTTTTCTCGCATTTTGTGATACAACCAAGTACGTCCCGGACCCTTCCTAATGATTCACTGCATTTGTGGTCGTTTGGTTCGTCAGAGTATTGTAAACTTATTGAATAAATTTTCTTGTAATTATGACCCTTTCAACCTTTCTATTCTTAAGAAAGTAAACTCCAGCCCCAACAATTGATTTGTAAAGTTGTCAGTCTTTACGTTCTACATGCCCATACACTGAAATAAGATGTTAGTTGAAACGCAAAATTTAGGTTTCCGATGTATTAGGACCAAACACAATTTCGCACTAATTGATGCCTCAAGTCAATGGAAAATTTACGCGAAAAACAAAAGAGGTAATGTTCTGAGAATTTGACCGACGGGAAATTTTCTCCTTGGGAAGACATTCAACCTACCGGGAGGGAGAGAGGGGGGGACTGAAAGAATTAATGAGGAAAAAGACTATCTTCACTTATGCAAAGCAGACTGAATCAATCCTCAAATTTTTCTAGAGAATGTTGTTCATTTGATTTGAACATTTCGATGTTAAAATGATAAATGAGATCTTTAATATGGATTAATTGAAACCGCGAAAATATGAATAAATTATTTTCAAACAGAGGACATCAAACTTTGTAGGGGGTCATCTCTCAACATTATCGGCCAGCAAATTCGCAACCTGACTTCACATTGGGGCTATCCTTCATCACTTCATCTTCATAACATTGAGACTATCCTATAAATAAAAATTATTTTTAATTACTAGAACCGATAACATGAAACCTACACTAATCCCAGGACCATAACGAGTATTTCTGACTCCACCGCATTACGATAGGTGCAACATTTTGAGCGCTAGGCGAAAACGAACAAAATACAACATTTACATGCAAACGCATTACCCTTCTTTGCGTTAGTGCAGTCGGGTAATAGGGGTGCAGCACGCGCCTTCAGAATTTGCTCTGCGCCGATGGCAAGGAGGTGTGTAGGGGGGGGGGGTAGTGCGGTGGCGGAGCGCCTCGCTCCTGTCGCGACATGTCGCGTCGCGACAGTGGCGCCGGCTGCGGGCTGTATTTGCCGTCTTTGTTTGTTGTGCGCTGTTTGCTCCCGTGTTTTGCAAGTGCTTCTGCATCTCCGACGCTGCTTCTAGCGCCAGGCAACAGCCGTCCTCGTCCTCGTCCTCGCCTGCGCCCTCGGCCTTGTGGCCAACGCCTCATCTCCTTATTTCTCTTCGCATCGATTTTTCGTAAATACCTACAATTTCTTTATGAAAAAGACGAAAATTACAAATATTTTTTAAAAAACAAAATGCATTTTACCGAGATGTATATCCGATTAGAATGTGTCGCAAATTTCAACAATATGCATTACAAATTGAGTTTATAGTAATTGCATATCACTCATTTGGGCCACTGATTCACAGCAATGCACTGTGTAGTTAAAAAAGTATATAGGTTTTGAAGTAGGTGTTTTGACAATAACTTCTGGTTCAATTATTTTATATATTTCAAAGGCCGCATCTTTGAAAGGGTTTTTTTACAAAATGGACTATCGTTTTCTCTTCACCATCCTGTAATAAAAATAGATATGAAAAAACTGGTATATTTTATTCAAAAAAATACTGTATACCGGTTAATACCTCTGAAAATATAAGTGTGATACTTGATAAATTATGAATGAGTGACAAGATGACTAGTGTAAATCTGACACTTCTTGATATTCCCCTCCATTATTTACGTATGTAGCAAATTTCACAGCAAAAAATTACAGTTGAATCTTTCGTAAATGCGGTTTGCGTGAGACATGTATTATTACCGTTTCTCCATTACCTCGTCTCAGCAACCTTTTCATCAACACTGCTATCAACCATGCAACCCATATCGACATCGGCAATGGAAATCGCCGTCAGTATCGTGGATAACACGTTTTCCTAGGCCGACACTTGCTTCACAACAGCTTGCTATTTTGTCACCGTTCGCTTCCATCACCACTCTGACTTTCGCTCAGTCACGAGTCGCCTCCGCCTCCGCCACCGCTGCCGCCGCCGCCTCCTCCTCCTCCTCCTTCGTCTCCGCCTCCACTTTCGCCACACTGCCGCCTCCGCCACCGCTACCGCCACCGCTGCTGCCTCCGCCACCGCTCTCGCTCGACGCCGCGCCACCGCTTTTGTTTAGTTATTCCTTATCGCCCCGGCACGTTTGAGGAAGCGTCGCCGATGCACGCGCGGGTGCAGGCGTGTGCTCCGCGTTAGCACGCCGCCCCCGCGCGCTCGCTTCCCGCCCACGCCTTCACGCACTCCAAGTAGCGCACAAACAAGTGCGACAGGTCATGGGGGAGGAACGGCGGCGACAATGCGCGTTGTAGGGCACGAAAGCGCCGAAGTGTGTGGTTAAAGTTTTATCCCGGAGTCACGAAACGATCCTTCGGAACGATACAAATCACGCACGGAGACAGCGCGTGTTTGGCGACTCCCGCGACAAGTAGTAGAGCAATGTATTTTCTTCTTATTTCGACAAACGGCAGCAGCGACAACGGAGACGAGCGTGTGTTAATACCCGCTAATGGACGATTTCCACATTTCCGTCTATTGTTCGCGGAAGCATGTCGCTCCGTTTATCGCGAAAGGGCAATGACTGGACCCTTGAAACTGTAACATGGCTGCTACATATACTCCGAATTCGCGAAAGACACAATTAATCGCAATTATTTAGCTTCCGAAAAACGTCTCGCTTCACAATACTCGCGTCCGCGTAAACCTGCGTTCCAGCGCACGAAAAAAAAACACGACAAAAACGGCATTAAACATATAATGTGGACAAAAGGGACACGGTCGGCGCCGGGAAGAACACATTCAGGCTAGTGTTGGGATTAAACCGTAATTTTTCGGAGGGGCGTCCGTCCCAGAGCTCTACAAAATGCAACTCGAGCAGCGCCACGGACGCGCCGGTAGAGCGCGCGCCGAGCGGCGGCGGCGGCGGTGGCGCGGCGTCGCGGCCATAGTGTGAATTATGCAGAGCCGAAATGGGGCTGATCCAATTTACGGCAGCGGAGGCCCAGGTACGAGTGTCCGGGTGTTTTCATTTCCCCACGAGTCTGCCGTAATGGAATATATAATTCCTAATTTACTGCTGCCGCTCGCCACCGCCGCCGCCGCTCGCAAATGCGTGAACGCGTACGCCCGTGTGCGTAGGTGCGCGTTGCCTCCCCCTCCCCCACCCACCGACTCCCGGGAACGCGTTGCCGAAGCGCGCGCCATTCCACGCAGCGTCCCACGGGGTGGAACCTGCCCCTCCGGGCGGGTGGTGCGGTTTTTGTCAAAATGTCTCTGGGAGTGGGCAGCTGGCGATGCGAGGGCGCAGAAACACCGCCCACTTTCCAGCGCTGCGCCAAATAAGCTTACGCAACACCCGAAGGGAGTTGAACCAAGTGTACCAAGGGGGTGGAAAAACTAACGAAC